GGAGAAGGAGCAGCTGCAGCAGCCGCAGCTGCAGCAGCAGCAGCAACAGCTGCCGCAGCAGCAGCAGCGCTGCCACACAGGACACCAATATACCTCTGCAGCGGGGAAAGCACTGTCTGTACACCTGGGGCTTCTTCTTTCTGTTGGAAGTCTCGTGGGGGCCCCCTTACCTCTCAGGGGGCCCCTGCATGCACGAAGCAGCGCTGCTGCTGCAGCTGTTCTATTGCTGCAGACAGCAGCAAACCCACCTCCTGCTGCGGTTGGCGTGTGCCCCGCCTGAGGACCCGTGCAGCAGCACCTTGTGCAGCAGCAACCGCAGCAGCAACAAAAGCAATCAGAAGCAACAGCAGCAGCAGCAGCAGCAGCAGCAAGTGCTGCACTAGCCATGCCGCCGTCGCACGCTTCTCCCCCCCAGGGGCCCCTCGCTGCTGATCCGCAGCAAACTGCAGCAGCACCAACGGGGAGATGGGCTCTTCAAGCCTTTGCTGCAGCATTTGAGCAGCAAGCAGCAGCAGCTGCTGCTGCTGATCCAGCTTCTGCTGCTGTTGGTTCTGCTGCTGACGTCGCTACGCAGGCCCGCGCTTTCCACGACGGGGCCCCTACCACACCCCACACCAGCAGCAGCAGCAGCAGCAGCAGCAGCAGCAGTTTGGGGTCTTGGTTGTCTTGTGCAGCACTTGCACTGCCGCCTCCTTGCTTCTCCAGTTGGCAGTGTATAGAAGACAGAGCGCCCGAGCGGGCTGATGAGTTGTGCTGCTTAGGGAGGAGAGAGGGTTTGCTGCTGATTGAGTCGCTAGGTATAGGTTTAATGCAGCGGCCTCTGGGGCTGCTGCCTCCTTGGTTTGCTGCGCTGCCGCGCCTGCTGCTGCAGCAGGAAGTCGCTCTTGTGCTCAGCGTACACTTCAGTAGGCCTGTGCTTGAGGGTTTAACAGAGGTGTTGCTGCAGCAGCAAGCGGCAAGAAGAGCGCTGCTACATAGAGGCAGCAACCCTTGGCTGCTGCAGCGTGCTGCTGCTGCTGCTGCTGCAGCAGCAGCTGCAGCAGCAACACCCCCAGCAACAACGCCGCCACCCGCAAATCCTGCGGCTGCTGCTGCCCCCGCAGCAGCAACATCACCAACAGGGGACCCTACAACAGCAGCAGCAGCAGGACCAGCAGCAGCAGCAGCACATGGAGAAGAAGGATCAGATAGTGCAGCAACGTCAACAGCAGGAGCGGCAACATCATCAACAGTAGCAGCACACCAGCAGCAGCAGCAGCTGCTGCTGCCCCCTAGAAGGGTTCATGGGAGCCTGTGGGGCCCTGACGCCCCTTATGAGGCTACTGACCCGTCGTATGAAGCAGCAGCAGCAGCAGCAGCAGGCGTTGCTGGTAGTGGTGCTGCTGCAGCAGGTGGGAAGGAAGCAACAGCAGCTGCTGCAGCTGCCATAGAACGGAGGGCTAGGCGTTTGCTGCAGCAGCTGCGCGTGCGCCCGCCGCTAAGCCTGGAGGCCCCCAGGGCCTACGGGGGCCCTTGGGGGGCCCCTGCTGCTGCTGCTGCAGCGCAGCAGGAAGCACTCGATCTGATGGAGATGCTGTGGAAGAATATGCAGCAACGGGGAGGTGCAGCACCAGCAGCAGCAATGGCAGCAGCACGCGTTGCAGTTAGCGAAGCAGCAGTAAGTGCTGCACTCCGGTATGGGTCCTTGCGAGAGTTGCTGTTGCTGCTGCTGCTGTGTCTTGCTGCAGTGCAGCAGCAGCAGCAACAACAGCAACAGCTCGACGACACGGCAGGGGAGAGTCCTGCCGAGTCGCCACCTTCAGTAGAAACAGCCGCAACTGCAGCCGCAGCAGCAGCACCAGCACCAGCAGGCGCAGCAGCAGCACCAGCAGCAGCAGCAGCAGAAGCCGCAGCGCAGGAAGACGATGTCTCAACTGTTGCTGCTGAGGGAGCAGCCTGGGGTGATGCTGCTCTAGAAGAACTGCAGATGCTGTCGCTGCTGCAGGAGTTTTCGTGGTCTCTTCGGGTTAATGAGGAAAACGCAGCAGCAGCTGCTGCTGCCGCAGCAGCAGCAGGTGCAGCAGCAAGGGGCCGCGCCTATCTCGTTGTTACTGCCAATCCCCGCGTGGTGACGTGGCGGCCCCACAGCCCCGATCGTGAAGGGCTGGAAGGTGTAGATCAGCAGCAGCAGCAAGCTGCAGCAGCAGCAGCGGCAGCAGCAGCGCCGGGCGCCGCGTCCGTTGCTGCTGCTGTTGCTGCTGCTGCGGGTGAACCTGCAGCAGCAGCACACGAAGGTGTTGCAGTTCTTGGCCGTGGCAGCGACTCGGGGGCCTCTTCAACAGAGGAGGAAGGAGAGATGTTTCCTGAGGTGTCTAGACAGCCGATGAGTGCTGCAGCAACAGCAGCAGCAGCTGCAGCAGCAGAAGCAGCAGGAGCAGGGGAGCCGGAAGATGAAGGGGAGCCTGTGATGCTTTTGTCTCCCTTCCCTGGTTCTATGCACTCTGTGCGCTCTTTGCAGCAGCAGCAGCAGCAACTGCAGGCGCAGCAGCAGCAGCAACAGCTGCAGCAGCAGCAGCTGGAGCAGCAGCAAGACACCTATATCATACCTGCATGGACAGGCCTTAAAGCTGCTGTCGTCCCTCCAGGTGCTGTTTGCTGCGTGCGGCTGCTGCAGGAGCCGCAGCAGACACGTCTTATATACATGGCAATGCCTCGGGGGAGTGATTGCGAGTGTATAGACAGCTCAGCTCCTCCAGAAGAACGCCGGAGACACTGCAGCAGCAGCAGCAGCAGCAGCAACAGCAACAGCAGCGGTAGAGTGCAGGCGGCTCTATGGATGCCTGATGGCCGTGGATGGAGGCCCCCAATGTCTCTTCAAGATGAAGTGCTGATGCTGACAGCAGAGGAGACACTGTCTTCTACATACGTGCTGCTGCAGCAGGGGCCTCGCCCGCTGCAGCGGCTGCAGGATCTGCTGCCTCCGCTGGTCCCTGCTGCTGCTGCTGGTGCTGCTGTTGCTGCAGCGGACGCTACGCACTGCAGCATCCACCAGCAGCAAAGCGGCCACCAAAGCCACAGCAGCCCGCATGCTGCAGCGGCTGCTGCTGCTGCTGCTGCCGCTGCTGCTGCCGTGCAGCTGGCTCCCAATGCCGCGGAAGGTGCAGCAGCGAGAAGTGCTGCTGCGGTTGCTGCCAGCAGCAGCAGCAGCGCTGCAGAAGCAGCAGACGCTGGAGATGCTGCAGCAGGAAGTGCCTGGGAAGGGGGGGAAGGAGCATCGTCCGCAAGCAGCAGCAGCAGCAACGGCACCAGCAGCAGCAGCGTGCGTGACGAGTGGTTTGCTGCAGCAGAGACACGAGAGTGGGTGCGGGAAGGAGTGCATGTCTGCCAGCTGCGGCTATCGGAGACACTTACTGCAGCAGCAAAAGTAGAGGGGACAGACCCCCCACCGCATCCGCTGCATGCATTTCAATTAGGGGTGTCTCTTTGTGACGCACAGGGATTTCTCTATGCCTTTGAAGGGCCCCCAACAGCAGCAGCAGCAGGAGCAGCAAACCAGCAGCAGCAGCAGCAGCAGATCTTGCGTCGTTGCGGCAGGCTTGAAGGGCCTCTTGTGGGGAGGCCTGGCTGCTGCGCTCTCAGCAGCAACGGAGACACTTGGTCGGGTCTCTTCCTTCACGGCCACCAACCTGCTGCTGCTGCTGCTGTTGCGGGCGACGTAACCAGCTGCAGCAGCAGCAGCAGCAGCAGCCCGGAGCGTACTCGACTGGTATCCGAAGAGGAGGGGTCATTCCCTTGTTGTAGCGAAGCAGCTGCTGCAGGCGAAGCAGCAGCAGCAGCAGAAGCAGGTGGAGGAGAAGGAGGAGGAGTTGCAGGCTCAGGCTCAGGAGCAGGAGCAGCAGCAGCAGCAGCAAGGAGCCGGTGGCGCTGCTGCAGCGGAGGAGACAAAACAGTGCTGCGCCTTGAACAAGCATTAGCATGTGGAGAGATTGAAGGGGGAAGACGCACCTGGAGATTTACTTTGCTGCTGGATGCAGACAAAGGGACCCTTGTTGTCTTTGTGGGGGGCAGACGAGTGAGGAGACACCTGAAGAGACACCTGAGCAGACACCTGAAAAGATAACTGAGGAGACACCTGAAGAGACACTGGAGGAGACACCTGAGGAGACACCTGATGAGATAATTGAGGAGACACCTAAGGAGACACCTGAGGAGACACCTAAAGAGACACCTGAATAGATTACTGAGGAGACACCTGAGGATACACCTGAATAGATAACCCAGGAGACACTTGAATAGAGAACTGAGGAGACACCTGAAGAGACACCTGAGGAGATACCTGTGGATACACCTGAGAAGACACCTGAGGATACACCTGGAGAGACACCTGAGGAGATACCTGAGGAGACACCTGATGATACACCTGAATAGATACTGAGGCACATGAAGAGACACCCTAGCGACACCTGAAGAGACACCTGAAGGGACACCTGGAGAGGCACCTGAGGAGACACCTGAAGTGACGCCAAAAGAGACACCCGAATAGACACCTGAGGAGACACCTGAATAGACACCTGAGAAGACACCTGAATAGACACTTGAGGATACACCTGAGGAGACACCTGAATAGACACCTGAGGAGACACCTGAAGAGACACCTGAGTAGACTCTTGCGACACCGGAGATAGCAACACCTTTTAAATGCAAACAGAGCAAATGAAGGGGAGACAGACGAAGGGAGAAGAGAGACAGAGATAGACACGCAAACGGGAGACGCAAATAAATAATATTTTTATTGTGGACGATAGAGACAGCGAGAAGGCGACGGAGACAGAGAAAGATAGAGAGACAGAGACAGATAGAGAGACGGAGACAGATGAAGAGACAGAAACAGATAAAGACAAATAAAGAGACAGAGATATATAAAGGAACAGAGGCAGAGAGAAACAACTAGCGAGACCGACAGAGACAGATAGAGAGACAGAGACAGCCGAAGAGACAGAAACAGATACAGAGACAAAGAGATAGAGACAGACAGACTGCAAAGAGACAGAGACAACCAAGAGCACTCGAAGAGAGTCAGAAACAAAGCAGAGACAGGGATAAAGCAAGAGACAAACGAAGAGACAGTAACAAAGATAAACATATACGCATATTCATGCATGCATGCATAACATTTTTTCTATATTGTTTGTTTGTTTGTTTGTTTGTTTATGCTTGCTGCAGGTTCACACCTGGCAGTGCCTGCCGCTGCTGGGGGGCCCTTTGCTGCTGGGTTTGCTGCAGAAGGAGACAGTTGGGTATCGCTTTTGTGTCTCCTTGTCTTCTCCTGCTCAGTCTGCTGCTCTTGTCTTTCTGCCTTCATTAGGTGGGAGAGAGTTGAGGCAGCTGGTGCGGCAGCAGCTGCAGCACCGCAGCACAGAGTTTCTCTTAGTTCGTAATGCAGCAGCAGAACCAGCAGCACTTCTTGCTGTTGTTGCTGCTGCGCTGCTGCGTCTAGCCGAGGCTGCGCGCGCCACACTGCAGCAGCGGGAGGCTGCAGACTCCTTCCAGCAGCAGCACCAGCAGCAGCAGCAGCAGCAGCAGAGGAGACGCAGCGATACAAGAGACACAGGAGACAACTCTGATACATTCCCCTTTGCTTCCAAGCCAGACAGTGCTGCTCTCTGGCTTGTTCACTCTGCAATCGTCGTTTGCCTTCGTACGCTGCAGCAGCAGCAGCATATACGTTGGCTCCAGCAGCAGGAGCAGCGGCAGCAGCAGCAGCAGGGACAGGAACAGGAGCAGCAGCAGGAGCAGCAAGACATGGAGCCACCCACGGGGGACACACGGTCTCCGCCTTGTTCTGCTGCAGCAGCAAATAGAAAAGCTTGTGCTGCTGCTGCAGCAACTGAAAGTTGCTTGCTGTCAGCTACAGTATCTTTGCTGCGTCTGTGGTCGTTGTTGCTGCCTTGTTGCGCAGCAGCAGCAGCGCAGCGTGTGCCGGGTAGCAGCTCTCGGGGCCCGTACACTGCGGCAGCAGCAGCAGCAGCAGCATCACTTGACAGCAGGGTTTGTCTCCTTGACGAATCGGTGTCTCCTCGCCTTATCCTTGCAGAAGCAGAGACAGCTGCGCCGCTGCTGTCTCCTGTCCCTGCCTTTGCTGAGTGTCTCGCTCACGGCAGCTTGGGGAGTGCAGCCCTCTGCTGCAGCCACAGCAGCAGCAGCAGCACCTGCTGCTGCTGGACCAGCAACACCTGCAGCAGTAGCAGCAGCAGCAACAACAGTTGCTGCTGCTGCGGGTGTTCGTCTGGGCTGCTGCTGCAGCCCCGCCAACCAACAGCAAGCCACTGGATGTCGCTGTTGAAAGCAGCAGCAATTGATGCTGCATGCGGCACCCGAGTTGAGTGTTTGAGGCTGCTGGGGACAGCAGGTTTGCTGCCGTTCGCTGGCGGCTCTGTGGCAGGAGCAGCTCAAGCAGCAGCAGCAGCAGCAGCTGCAGCAGCGGCTGCTGCTGTTGGCGCCCCTCCTGCTGCTGCTGCTGCTGCTGCTGCTATTGGAGGAAGGGCAGATGGCCGGACTGGCATGCTGCTGCTGCAGCGCCAAAGTGATATGGACAGCTTCCCCACCTTCTCCGGTGCTACGCGTGCTGCAGCAGAGGCCTTTGTAGAAACTTTGCCTCTAATTCTGCGGTGTCTAGACACCTTGGGCTGGCTTGTAGCAGGGCCTCAAGCTGCAGCGGCCCTCGGCATGCATCTGCCGCAGCAGCAACAGCAGCAGCAGCAACAGCAGCAGCAGGAAGCATTTTCTCACGCTGAAGCAGCTGCACTCGCTGGCGTCGCCTCAAAGGCGCTGCATGCACTGTCGAGTTGTGATGCTGCTGCTGTTGCTGCAGCACACTGCCCAGCGCCGCTACTGCTGCAGCTGCAGCAATCACTGCTGCGGATTGGCAGGCTTCCGGCTGCAGTGTCCCTTCGGAGAACCTTCCCAACCAGCAGCAGCAGCAGCAGCAGCAGCAGCAGGTCTTGTGTGAGGGGGGAGGTGCAGCAGCAGAAACAGCAGCAGCAGCAGCAGAAGCATGCAGAGGCTGCTGCTGTTGATGCCTCTACATCGCATCTCTCCTGCTTGGCGCTGAGGGCCTTGCGGCGGCTGCTGCTGCAGCAGTTTGCGGGAGTAAGGAGAGGGCTGCTGCATGCAGTGGAGGAGACAATCCTGGTGTGTCGGTGGCGCGGTGTACATACAGCGAACAGCCGCGAGCAGCAGCAGCAGCAGCAACGGAGACGGAGGAGCAGCAGCAAAGCTGTAGCAGCAGCCCCGCTCGCACAGCCAGGGTCGGCGGCAGCAGCAGCCGCACAGGGAGTTGCAGCAGCAGCAGCAGCAGCAACAGAAGCAAGGCCGTTCGAGCCCTCCTTTGTTGTCTCCTCAGATGGCAGCAGCGACGAAGGCCGGACGTCGCAGCCAAACGCCCCGATTCAGAGCGCAGCAGCAACAGCAACAGCAGCAGCAGCAGCAGCAGGAGTAGAAGCATCGGCAGCAGCAGCACCAGGTCCACAGGAAGCGTCTGCATCAACTCCAGCACTAGGAGCTCATACGGGGACATTGGTGCCGGAAGTACGCATAGAGCAGGAGCAGCAGCAGCAGCAGCAGCAGGCAGCAACCTCGCCTCCAGCAGCGGACAGCAGCAGCGTGGCAGGGAGCGTCTCCAGCTTGTCCCCCACAGAGAGCAGCCTCACAATGAAAGTGCGGGACAGGCTGCATTTGCTGGCTCAGTCAATCACATCTATTTTTGCTGCGCTGCAGTGCAGCAGCAGCAGCAGCAGCAACGGCAGCAGCAGCAGCTGCAGCAGCAACGAGATGTTCCGCGTGCCTCCAGATGGGCAGGTGCAGCAGGTGGTTTCTGTCGTGCTGCTGCAGCTGCTGCTGCTGCTGCGGTTCAGGCGGCATTCTCTTGTTGATGCGCTGCAGCTGCTGCTGAAGCGGGCCCCCCCATTGGGATCGTGTGGGGTGCCTCGCCCTGAGTCTCCTCCCGTCAGGGTTGCTTTGCTGCTGCAGGAAGTAGATGCCTTCTTCCTGCGCGTGCTGCCTCAGCTTATGCTGCTGCAAGGAGATCTGGCAGCAGCAGCAGCAAGAGCAGACAGTGCTGCTGCAGCAGGTGTTGCTGCACTCACCAACTCGGGCAAACATGCGCACGCCCGCATGGAGCTCTCCAACAGCAGCAGCAGCAGCAGCAACAGCAGCAACAACAACAACAGCAGCAGCAGCAGTGCAGCAGTTGGCGAGAGCAGCTGGGACGAGGGCTACACTCGCGAGTTCCGCGAGGATGCTGCAGTGTATATACTGGAGACACCCCATCCAACTGTCTCCTTTGAGCCTCAGCGCTTTGTGCTAGATTTCACAACAAAGTGGGGGGCAACTGAGTTGCTGCAGGCCCCAGCAGCAGCAGCAGCAGCAGCAGCAGCAGGCAGCGGTGCTGCATCTCAAGGTCGAAGCCGCCGTGGGACTGGGGGGAGCAGCGAGGTGGGGGGAGGCCCAGCAGCAGCAGCAACAACAACAAGCAGCAGCAGCAGCGCAGCAAGCTCGCTGCTGTCCTCCTCACGTCAGAGACCCTCTGCTGCACCTGCTGCAGCATGGCTGCCTACTGAGGGGGGGGCTCCCCCGCCTGTCGCGCGCCGCCTCCGTGTGCAGATCGACCCGAGGAGTTTTGCTGCAGCACAAAAGGGAGAAGTTATCATCAAGGTTAGGGAAACTGCTGCTGCTGCTGCTGCTGCTGCTGCTGCTGTTCTTGGGTGCTGTAGGTATGGGGGGTTTGCTGCAGCGGGTTGGCGTCAGCCAACCGGCAGCAGCCTTAGTTGCGCTGGAGCTTATGTTAGTCTCTGCGCTGCTACACCTGTTGCTGCTGCTATTGCTGCTGCTGCTGCTGTCGTTTCCTGCTGCAGGTGCTAACAGCACAGGGCCCCAAGACTCACCGAGTGCGCGAGGGTACACCGACACGGTTGCGCTTTAAAGATGTTAGAAAGCTAGAGGTGAGGAGTGCTATCTTGCTGCTGCTGCTGCTGCTTGTGGAGATCGGCAGGACCGTGTTGCGAGTTGCTGCAGCTTGCTGTCTTGCCCTGCTCGGAATGGCTTTGCTGCTGTTTCTGCTGCTGCTGCTGCTGCTGCTGCGTGACGGTTCAATTCCTTGTTCGTTAACATGAATATGCATTGAGGTGCTCCTGCTTCTGCTGCTGCTGCTGCTGCTGCTGCTTCAGATGTATGTGAGCCTTTGTGCTAAAGGAGGAGACTGGGGACTGCGTATGGTGGTGGAGGCCACGCGTCGGCGTCTTTCATTTGCTGCTGGAGGGCCTAGCCAGCTGCGTTTGCTTGCAGCAGATGCTGTCTCTTCTTTGCTGCTGCACTTGTCTGATGATATAAGCCCCTTAAGATCTTGGGTAGGCCGAGGGGGCAGCACAAGAGATACAGAGTCGCTGCAGCAGCTAGGGGGAGTAGAGTTTTTTGCTGCATGCAGAGCTGTTAGTGCTTTGCTGCGGACGGGGCTGGCTCGCCTGCAGCCCCCGGAGCTCTGGTGCTGCTCCACAGCAGAAACCCCTTACTTCGCCACAACAACTGCTGCAGCAGCAACATCTGCAACAGCAGCAGCAGCAGGAAGCACCCCACCCGTCGCTCGCCCCACGCCGTGCGTCTCCATTCCCTGGTCAGCCAGTCGAGCCGCCTTGGCTGCAGCAGATGCACAGCTGCTGTTGCAGCAGCAGCAGCAGGAGCAGCAGCAGGTGCAAGTCAGTGGGGTATGGTGCGATGCTGCTGCAGCTGGTGCAGCAGCAGGAGCAGCTGCTACTGCTGCTGGCGGGTGGGTGTGGGGCGAGGAGAGCGCAGGGTCTCTTCTTGCTGAGTTTATTTGCCTAGGCAGCATACGCATGCGTCAGGTAGAAGCGATTCTATCTGAGCCGCTGCCGCAGCAACTCAAGCAGCAGCTTCCTGCTTTGCTGCCTGGGTCTTTCTTACGCATGCAGTGGCTGGAGCGCGCTGTCTTTGCTGCGCATTTGTGGGCGGTCCCTTGTCTTTATGCTGTCTTCCAGAGCCTCCTCTGCTCCCTAGAACAGCAGCAACAGCAGCAGCAGCAGCAGCAGCAGCAGCGGAGGCGGCCGCGTTCGCTGCTGCTGGCTGCGCTGTGGCATCATGCGACACAGCAGGCGCGGCTGCACTTGCATGCAAAGGCGCAGCAAACTGCAAACATATCTGGAGATAACTCTACCCGAAAAAACCCTCAACTATACTTCAGTGCAGGGAAGGCTGTAGAAGCTGCTACTATTGCTGTCCGAGCAATTGAGCTGCAGCGGCTGCCTTGCGATCCTGTGGAGGGCTTTGTTGCTGCTGTTGCTGCAGCAGAAGACGCAGCACTCAACAGCAACAACAACACCAGCAGTAGCAGCAGCAAAGGGAACCACCTGACCCTGCGCCAGATATACTCAGGCCTTGTTGAACGCCTTAAAAGGCATGCACCGCTGCATGCAGCGCTGCGGCTGCTGCTGGGAGACGTCGATCCCGCCTCCCTCCGCACTGTATTGGAGTTGCTGCAGGGCTTGGGCTTGAGGGTGGGGGTAGCAGCAAGGGGTCTCGCCGTGCTGCTGCAGCAGCTGCAGCAGCAGCAAGTGCAGCAGCAGCGGATGGTGGCGCCGGATGGACACACCACCAGCATCGCCGCCGCTGCCGCTAGCAGCAGCAGCAACAGCATCAGCAGCATCAGCAGCAGCAGCAGCTCGCAGTTAACTTGTCTTGCTGTTGATTCTGTGTGGCGGCTGCTGCGGCATCTACAGAGCGTCTCCATGATCTTCCTGGGGCCTCCCGGTGCTGCTGCAATCCCCGCTCCCTTTGCTGCAGCAGAACTTCATAGGTAAACTCTGCTGCTGCTATTGCTGCTGCCGCTGCTGCTGGGGAGCCACACCAAGCGAGTCTTTGTGCCGGGTGTTGCAGCTGCTGCTGTTCCTGCTGCTGTTGCTGCTTCCGCTGCTGCTGGCGAGCGACACCAAGCAAGCCTTTGTGCTATCCGTTGTTGCTGCTGCTGCTGTTTTGCTCTTCGCCTCTGCTGCAGGTGTTTGGTGACGGACTACGAAGTTGTATGCAGGCCGTTCTATGCGTATTTGTTTGAAGGGCGTCTTAGTGGCGGTGTTGCTTCTCCGCAGCAGCAGCAGCAGCAGCCGCAGCTGCTGCTGCAGCAGCAACTTCCTTGGGTTCCTCCTGTAGCGCAGCTGCTGCTGCAGGACCGCCGCAGCCGCTGCGGCGGCGTTTCTTCTGTTGCAGGCCTGGCTGCTCTTTGCGAATCTCTTGCTGCTCATCTGTGGGGTTGCGATGCTGCTGCTGCATTTCAACTGCTGCGCAGCGTAGGGATAGATGCCCAGGCTCTTGCTGCAGCAAACGCTGTCGTAGGCAGAGCTTGGCTCGTGCCTCACCTCCTGCATCTTCTCTTGCTGCTGCTTCAAAGCAACGCGCAAAGGCAGCAGCAGCAGCAGCAGCAACACCTGCTGCAGAAGCAGCAGCAGGCGAAGCATCCGCAGCTTGAACAGCAAGCACACTCCACTCGACCCAGCAGCAACGGCAGTCAAAGGCACGCGTCTACTGCAGACGCAGCAGCAGCTGCTGCGGCAGCAGCAGCAGCAGGTGCAGCAGCTGTTGCTGCTGAAGACCAGGCTGCTGTGAGTAGTTGCTGCGCGTCTGTTATGCGCTCGGTGGGAGACGCGCTGCACCGGCTGCTGTCCTGGCAGGCTGCGTTAGTAGCTGAAGACGAACCAGCAGCAGCAGCAGCAGGACCAGCAGCAGCAGCAGCACCAGCAGCAGCAGCAGCAGCAGCAGCAGGACCAGCAGCAGCAGCAAGAGCGCCTCGAGCTTCCGGAGCTGACGGGGGCCGGCGTGCCAGCAGCAGCAGTAGCAGCAGCAGGCATGCGGGTGTTTGCCCTAGTGAGGCGCTGGTAGACGCAGCAATTGTCTTCCTGCCGGTTTCTTGCGATGCACCGGCAGGATCAGCAGCAACAGCAGCAGCAGCAGCAGCAGACCCGTGCAGCAGCAGCGCATCGGGTCTGATGGGGTGGCAACGAGCGACGCTTTGGGAGGAGATCCCCAGCGCCCCACAGGGCTGCGCAGCAATTGCCCTCAGCAATAGAGGGGCTCGGTTGCTGCAGCAACACTTTACTCGGACGCAGCGGTTGCTGCTGCAAACAGCAAAGGGGCCTTGCTATGTTGAAGTGTGGGTAAGGACGGTGGGTGCTGCGCTCGCCGAGCTGGCGGGCCAGGAGCAAACTGCAGCGAGCAGCAGCAGCAGCAGCAGCAACAGCAGCAGCAGCAGCAGAAACAAGCGCAGCTTTGTTGCTCTGGGTGTTGTCGATACACCTGGAGCTGCAGATGCTGCAGCAAGGCTGGCGCTGCCTCTAGAAGATGCTTTTGCTGTTGCGCCTCCCGCTTTGCCAGGTGTAGACGATAAGGAGGATACAGGGCCAGCAGCAGCAGCAGCAGCAGCAACAGCAGGGGGAGCAGCAGCAGCAGCAGGCCGCGAAGATCGAGCGAAGGACTTGCATCGGATTGAAGCTACAATGCTAACATCAGCAACAGCAGCAGGAGCAGCAACTGAGAAAATAATTTGCTTCGCCCATAGAACACCATCACCTTTAAGGGGAGTGCCGGTGCAGCCTTTGCTGCGGGTGTGGGGTCCATCCCCAGAGACACTTGCTGCTGCTGCTGAGGCTGCTGCCTCTTGCCGCTGCATGCAAACCAGGATGGAAGCCTCGGAATATGGAGGAGATAACGAGCAGCAGCAGCAGCAGCAGCAGCAGCAGGGGCCGTGCTACTGCCAATGCGGGCGTATGTTTTTCCTTGAAGGGATTAAAGCGCCTTCAAGGTGTTGCCCTCCTGGGGTGCGAGTAGCTGCTGCGCTGCGTGTAGCTCCTGGTGCAGCAGCAGCAGCAGCCGCAGCAGCATCCGGAGCAGGAGCAGCAACGGCAGCAGCAGGTAGGGTGGGAGGCAGCAGCAGCAGCAGCAGCAGCGGGCTGCTGGCCTTGCTTGGACTGTACGGGGAGTTGCAACAACCGATGCCGCGGGTGCTGCAGGCGGCGCAGCGGCGCAGTCTTCGTGCTGCAGCTGCTTCTTTGTCTCCTCCCCTTCCTCTCTCTTCTGCTTCTGCTTCTTCTGCTGCTCCTCTGCCTGCTGCTGCTGCCTTCAGTGAATTGCATTTAGGGCTCCGCGCGCAGCTGCGGGTTGCCCGCGAAGCAGCAGAAGCGCTGCAGCTGCAGAAGCTGTGGCTGGAGGCAGCAGCAAGTTGCTGCGACCGCATGTGGCTGGCCTTCAGGGCCTGCCTCGCTGCCTGCGGCTCTGCTGCTACAACTAGCCTTGGAGGGGAAGGTACAGCGAAGCAGCAGCGCGACTCGAGACACGCCCGCAGCAGCAGCAGCAGCAGCAGCAACAGCAACAACAGCAAGAGCTGTTGCTGCTGCAGCAGCAGCCAGGACATTCTCCCGCCCATGCAGGCTGCGCTTGAGGAAATTAAGAGAGCCCTAGGCTGGGCTTTGCCCCATCTTGAACACTCCCCTGACCAGCCGGGGTCATCTGCAGCAGCAGCAGCAACAGCAGCCAAAGGAATGCTTGCAGCCGCTGCTGCAGCAGCCGCTGGGGAGGTTGCAGCGCAAGCAGAGCAGCAGCAGCAGCAGCAGCAGCAATCGGCGGCCCACTACAGCGCATCGCAATTCCTGCGTCTGCTTAGCGTATCGCCATCCACAGGTGCAGCAGCAGCAGCAGCAACAGCAGCAGCAGCAGCAGACGCATCGTTTACGACAGTGCATGCGGCAGCAGACCAATACCTGCACATGACACCCACGCTGCTGCAGCAGGAGTCTCCGGGGGTGGGGATTGGTGCTGCTTTTTTATCGGATATGATGTGGCTTTGTGTTGTCTCTCCCGAGCAGCAGCAGCAGCAGCAGCGGCGACGGCGGCGACAGAAGGTACTTGGTTGGAAAGTGAAGAGACGGCCTTCGTTGTGTCTTGTTGCAGAGACAGTTGCGGTGTCTCTGGTGCAGCAGCTGCTGCGCTGGCTGCTGCAGCACGCGCAGCGGCGGCTCATCAGCCTTTGGCTGCTGCAGCAGCAGCACGAAGAGCTGCTGCAGCGGCTGGTAGCGACGGCGTGCTGCGGGAGGCCCCTTCTGGGCCGTCTCTCTCTACGGCTTGTGCATGCAGCAGTTATTGCTGCTAGCAGCCCCTGCAGCAGCTGCGGCTTATCCGCTGCTGCAGAAGCCCTCGATATTGCTGCTGCTGCAGCACCTCTGCTGCCGACCTCTCCTTGTTGGCATATGGCCTCCCTCACCGGCTTAGGAGTTCGCCAGGCGGATAGCAACGCAGGATTTGCTGCTGTTTCTGCTGCTGCTGCTGCTGCGTGCCAGCAGCAGCAGCAGCAGCCTGATACTGACAGCTTGCAGCATTTGTTTGTAGCGAAGTCTGCTGCAGCAGATCGTCTGGGCGGCGGATCACCAGCACCATCCGCAGAAACAGCAGCGCCAGCAGCAGCAGCAGCAGCAGCTGCTGCTGCTGCTGCTGCAGCTAGGAGTTCTTTAGGGTTGCTGCGTCCTTGGGGTAGCTGCGTGTCTCTGCGTTATGTTTTGCTGCGCTGCTCTATCCCTTTGGATATCGAAGGCCCGAGTTGGTGGCGCATAGAAATTTCAATGCCCACAGCAGAAGCAGAAGTTGTTGCTCTCACCGGATATGATGTCAGCCTGCTGCTGCTGCTGCTGCGGCTGTTGCTGCTGTTAATGCCGCTGCTGCTGCTACGGCTGCTGCTGCTGCTGCTGCATTTTCTGCTCCGGCGATTTGCCGTGCGGCTGTGGCTGTTCCTGGATTTTCTGCCTGTCTCGCATGTTGTTGCTGCTGCCGTTGCTGCTGCTGCTGGTGCAGCTGCTGGTTGAGGAGAGGATTGTGTGAAACTGCTGCTTGGCTGTCTGCAGGTGCGGCGTCTCTGTCGCGGGCAGCAGCGGCCTTCCTCGCACAAGGAGCCGCAGCTGCTGCGTGTGGAGGCGTTTGCTGCTAAGGGGAAGTCTGGCTCGCGGCTGCAGAAGAACCTCAAGGCAAGGGGTGTTGCTGCTGCTGATCCGCTGCTGCTGCTGCTGCTGCTGCTTTTGCTGATTCGCTTCTGTTGTTGCTGCTGCCGATCTGCTGTCGCCGATTTTGTGGTGGTGGTGGTGGTGGTGATTGCTGGTGTTGCTTCCGCTTTTGCTGCTGCTGCTGCTGCTGAGGCTAGTGCAATAGTTTCTGGTGCTGCTGCGGGTTGCAGCAGCAGCAACATTGCGTAAGGGTGTTTGTTTCTTTTCGCAGTGTATTGATAGCTCGCTGCAGCAGCACTTGGCGTCATTGTATGGACGGGCGCACATGGAAAGCAGCCCCAAAGACCTGCATGCATCTGCTGCAGCACCGGAAGCACTTCCTGCTGCTCTGGATGTTGTTGCGCTGCCTTCTCCTAAGAAAGGGACGCTGAAGCTGCGTACACTTAACAAACCGCTAAAAGCTGCGCGTCTGCTGCTGCCCCACGCCGTCATTCATAGGGCGGCTCTCCGCTCTACAAATGCTGCAGCGCCAGCAGCAGCACCAGAAGCAGCAGCAGCAGCAGGACGGGCAGGGGGTACAGCTGAGCAGTACTTTCCCCCTCTAGACCCAATGCGTTCCTTGCATTTGTGTGTTATTACACTGGAGCCGTTTGCTAGTGGTTTTGCGGTGTATGTACACCGCAACTCAGAGCAAATATCTAAAGGCCTCCGCAGGCGGCACTCCCTAAAGGAGCTCCTTACCGCAGCAGCAGCACCAGGAGGGGAAGCAGGCTCTGCGCATGGAGCAGCAGCTTTCGTTCGAGTCCCCCTGCAGCGG